AGTGTGGGTTGTGGTGTGTGATTTAGTGAGTGTGAGCTTCATTTGTGTTCTTATTTTTTGTTGAGAACAAATCATTGTATTTAATCATTGTTGTGAGTATCACTTATAATACACTTGTACACCGAGAGAAGTGTGAGGCGAGAGACGGGGTCGAATCCAATAGGAGTGACGTCGGTTGATGAACCTATGGAGAGGTTGCGTCCGAGCACTTGAGGAGGAGGACACGGGCTAGGTTCCTACACTTAGTGTGTAAAGTGTAATTGCATAGTGTTTGTTGTGTGAGAGTTTTCGGTAAGCTTGTAAACCGAGTGTATAGAAGTTCCGGTTTCCAAACCGGATTGTGATAGTGGAGATCTCCTCGAGGTGAGGAGCGGGGACGTAGGTCGTGGTGACCGAACCTCGTAAACATATCGTTTGTTTGTGTTTTGCTTAGCGTACCTTTTATTTGTGCTTATTCATATCATTCTTGTTCATATCTATCTTATATCATTCTTGCAAGAACAAATTAATCAATATAATTTTAATTGGTATTTAATCGGGATTAGATTAGCATAAGACCCTAATCACCCCCTCCCCCTCTAGGGTCTAATATAAACAGGTCTAGAACAAATTCTCGAATTCATTGATCCTAGTTTGGAGAGGGCATCTGCTCGAGCATTAAGGGCTTGGGGAACTTGAACTATCTTGGATTCCAAGAAGGCTGTTAGAAGTTCTTTGGCGACTCGAAGATATTGGGCCATCCTTGGGTCTTTAGCAGCATAGCACCCGTTGATTTGATGGACAATTAATTGTGAGTCGGCTAGAATGTAAAGGCGTTCGGCTTTCAAAGCTTGTGCCGCTCAGAGGCCGGTGAGTAGAGCTTCATACTCGGCTTCATTGTTCGAGGTCGAGAATTTAAAGGAAATGGAATGGTCATATATCGACCTGTCAGGACTTCGTATGACCACTCCTGCTCTACTGCCTACCTCTCCAGAGAATCCATCTACTTGCAGTAGCCACCACGAGTCATATTTGGGTGAATCATGCTCCAGAGCACGATGAGTCGGAGGGATCGCCTAGCGTTATGGGGGTGAAGGTTGAGGAGGTGGCATGAGTACTCTCGGTTCATCATTCTGGGGAGCCGATTCGATCAAGAAGTCGGCCAAGGCTTGAGCCTCAATAGCTGTTCATGGTTCAAATTAGACATCGTGCTCGCTAAGCTCTGTTAGACCCTAGAGGGGGGGTGATTAGGGTCTTATGCTAATCTAATCCGATTATATGCCAATTAAAACTAATTAACAAGTTATCCTAGCAAGTATGAAATACCACAAGATATATGAGCTAGGATAAGCAATGTAAACAATGAGATATATCCTATATGATGAAATATATGCAAGGATATATAAGCTAGCACAAGATGATATATCCTACCAAAGAGATATACAATATGATATATGTAAGGATATGCAAACACAAGGGTAACATAAACAAATGAAATAGTGGATGAAATAAACAATGAGAGAAAGGCTATAAAGATGAACAAATATAAGTGTTAAGCCAAACTCAAACAAGCAATATGATCACAGAGTTCAGACCTTCCGTCCTACGTCTCCGCTCCCCACTCCCTGGGAGAAATCCACTATTACAATCGGGTTTTCTACGTTCACCCGAATAACGTTTACACCACACAATACGGTTTTCTAGTTTACCGAAAACTCTACAACTAACACACTCTTGTAATCCCACTCTACACCCTCTCAAGTGTTGAACTAGACGTGTCTCCCTCAAGTGCTCGGTTACAACCTCTCCCTAGGCACGTCAACCGACGCCACTCCTCTTGGGACGATCCCCGACTCTCGCCACACACTTCTCTCGGTGTACAAGTGTATTATAAAGTGATCTCATAATAAGCACAATATAAATCAAATGATTGTTCTCTAAACAAGGTGAGAACTTAATTAAGCACAACTCTTAGTCACAAACCCACAACCCCAAATTATACTATGAATGTAAATACAATAAGCTCAAAAGGTTGTGTGTGAACAAAGAGATATAAATCAAAACTAAACTCAATGTAGTTCTAGCTTAATAACAATGATAATCAAATATATAAAAGAGCTAGAAATAGAGTTTAGAAAACTTCTTAATAGATCAAGAGTTGGAGGGAGAATAATTGGAAGCTCAAACTTCAATAGATGATCTCCTCAAGATCTTGTGGAATTGATTCACAAAACCAAAACACTCAAATGCTTAAAAGCTTATAAACACACTTAAACCAAACATAAACCCTTGTTAAGACTTTCTTAAACTTGTTTTAAAACTCTCTCAATTGTTAATAGAGAGTTGAAGGCAATGGGGTATTTATACCCACTCAAAAGTTCAACAAAAACCCCACTAAAAAGACAACAAAGCCCCCAGAAAAACACCTCAGAAAATAACCGTTGGAGTCCAACGGTCAAATCGGCGGTCGACCGCGACGGTCAACCGCGAAGAACAAAAAGCGGTAGAACTATTCTGGACAAGCGACGGTCGGCCGCGAAACTCTCTGGACTCGCTACGGTCGACCGCGACGGTCAACCGCGAGCCATAAAAACCTATAGTGAGTTTCTGAACTCATGGGCGGTCGACCGTGGCGGGGGACCGCGAACAGATACTACAGAAAAACAGGTTTGAAAACAGATTTTTTGACTTTTGGAAAATTGTTAAAAATAACAAATGAAGTCCAAAAATAATGAAACTTTGGGAAATGTATATAAACATGTAAATGAACATGTTACAAAAAGAATTTTCCAAATTGCATTTCCCATTTGTGAAAGATCATCATTTTGCAAAAATAGTCCAAAACACGAAAATGTAAACATGTGAATTTTGATATTTAGGCTAAACCATGTTTTGAAACTTTGCACAATGATTATGTAGACTTAATAAAATATGTATATGATTTTTGTTAAGTCCAAAAACTAAGAATATAAAATTTTTACAAAATTGCATATTCCATGCAATGTTTTCAAAAACACAATAGTAAATATGAAATATGTGATTTCATATTATAAACATAAAACCCAAAACCATGCATGTATATAAATGTATATAACTATATATATGCATAGAAACCAAAACTTATGTATATATATATAACTATATATATATATACAAAGAAACCAATAAATGTGTGTGTATAGATATTGAGCTTAACGTACTTAACACACATAATATAAAACCTAAACTAAGATTACCCAAGTTGATCTTGATCTTCAATAAGCTTGACTTGCTGTTTGCCTAGAATAAATACGAAAACACAAACACTAGACAAACAACATTAGAAGTAAATTGTTTGTTAAACACTATTAAAACAAGAAGGCCAACAAGCTCAACCTCCCAGGCAACCATTCTTCCTGATGTGGTAGGACTTCCCAAAGCTTTCTTTAAAGGTAGGCTCGTTCTGACAATAATGAGGTGAGCCTGAAAATAAGGACGAAGTTATCTGGCCGTAAGGATGAGGGTGAAGGTAGCTTTCTCTATAAAAGAATAATTGAGTTCGCCTTCTTAGAGGATTCGGCTCACATAATAGACGGGCTTTTGCGTATTTTCTTCCTCCCGAACAAGGACAAAACTAACTGCTTCAGAGGAGACGGCTATGTATACAAACAAAGTCTCCCCTCTTATAGGTTGGCTCAGCAATGGCTTTGCACTCAAGTAAGCTTTGAGATCTTGAAATGCTGCTCTGCATTCAGCCGTCTAAACTATACCCTCCTTCGAGCCTTTGCTTCCTCTTAATATTTTAAAGAAATGGAGGCTTCTCTTGGCGGACTTGGATAAAAATCAATCTAGAGCTGCGACCTTTCCATTCAACCTCTGAATCTCTCTCAAAGTACGTGGCTCAGGGAGTCGCTCTATTGCGGCAATCTTTTTAGGGTTGACCTTAATACCCTTTTGGATAATCATGAATCCAAGAAATTTCCCTGATTGTACGCCGAAGGCACATTTAGTTCGATTGAGCTTCATTTGATATCGCCTTAGGGTTGAAAAGGTCTCGTCCAAATATGAAATATGGGTAGACGCTTGTTTGGATTTTACCAATAGATCATCCACGTAAGCTTCCAGATTGTTACCGATCTGATGTTGGAAGACATTGGCTACAAGTCTCTAGTAGGTAGCTCCAGCATTCTTCAGTCCAAAGAGCATCATTTTGTAGCAGTACTTACTCATATCGGTGATGAAAGAAGTCTTCTCTTGATCGTGCTTAGCCATGATAATTTGATTGTAGCCAGAGAAAGCATCCATGAAACTAAGCATTCATATCCCGCGCTCTCGTCAACTAACTGGTCGATTGAAGGCAGGGGATAACTATCTTTAAGACAAGCTTTGTTAAGATCGGTAAAATCCACACACATCCTCCACTTATTCAGTGCTTTTTTCACCAGGACCATATTGTCTAACCACTCTAGATATTGGACATCTCGGATAAAGTCAGCTTTCAAAAGTCTCTTCATCTCGTTTGTTGCCACCTTCTGACACTCTGGGCCAAGCTGCCTCTTTTTCTGTCGAACTGGTTTGACATGTTTGTCTACGGCCAGTTCATAACACATTATCTCAAGGGGAACCCCTAACATATCGTCCGGTCTCCAAGCAAATACATCAGTATTGGCTTTTAAAAATTCAACCATAGCCCCTCTCAAGGGCTCGACTAATCCGGACCCAATCTTAATTGTCTTCATTTCTTCTTGATCAATAGGGACTTCTTGGAGCTCTTCTACTGGCTCCGTCCTTGGTCTTTCTACTGTCTTCTCCAGTTAGAGACAAGTTTTTTCAATCGGCATAGTGTCTTGGACACCCTTCCCTTTGATCGAGAGTAGATAGCAAGATCTAGTGTCCCTTTGATTGCTCTGAGCTACTCCGACTCTATTTGGGGTCGGAAATTTAATAATCTAATGATAAATTAAGGGGATGGCCTGCAAGAGGTGGAGAGCGATTCGACCCAATATAACATTATGGGCTGAGTTCAAATCCATTACCAGAAACTAGATTTGGATAGTAATTTGCATAGGATATTCTCCTAATACAAATGGCAAGGTTATCATTCCCTCTGGCAAGAGTGCATGGCCAGTGAAACTCACAAGGGGTCCTCTACAAGGAAGGAGGCGGGATTTGTCAATTCCCATCTGATTGAAGGTGCTAGTATATAAGACGTCCATCGAGCTTCCGGTGTCTACCATAATTCGTTTCACCTGATACCCATTAATGACTATGGTGATAACAAGAGGATCATCATGGGCCGTCTCAACACCCTGTAGGTCATCATCAGTAAAAGATATGAGCTCTTCTGTCCTCGCCTTCTTGGGATCATGATCAACTTGTAGCGTTCTTCTAGCATATCTCTTTCTTTCATTGTTGGATGACCCCCTAATTATAGGACCCCCACTTATTACATTAATGACTCCTTTGTGAGTAGTCTCTTAGGGTCGTTCGCCTATTTGAGGTCGAGATCGAGGAGACCACGAGCGGGATCTCCTATTATTTCTGTTTGGGATAGTATCCCTACGATCTCTCCGAAAAGTGAGATTTCTCAGATGTCCTCTCTCACTCAGATCCTCTATATCCCTCTTGAGAATCCGACAATCATTGGTAATGTGTCTGTGATCCCGATGGTAATGATAATATTGCTTAGAGTCCCTGCTTCTAGGATCTGATGACATCTTAGGTGCAGGATCTTTGAGATATCCTTCCCTTTGGACCATAGTCAAGGCATTAGTAAGCGAGGTGTCCAAGATGGTTAAAGATTCTTTTGGTGTCAGATTTCTTTGTTGGTTCCTCCTGTCTGAGTGATTAGGATGGGAGTTGACCCTTGGAGGATTCTTGTGCCATCCTAGTCTTAGAGGACTTCCGGTCAGTTTAGGTGATAGAACTATTGCTGGTACTATTTGAGGGTTTGAGGGAATGGCCATGGTTGCTAGCGTTGCTGAAGTCGTGGCAACGGGAACCCCCGTGTCCCTTGCTGAGGCCTTGTAAGCCTGGGCATCCTCCATGTCCATGTATCCATGGGCTTTAGCCATCAATTGTTTATAATTGGCGATTGGTTTCTTAGCGAGTGAGTCAGCCAATTCATTGCTCTGCAGGCCGGCGACGAGCGCCACCATGGCGACTGTGCTTCTCGGGTCATTGACTTCCAGCCTCTTAGCTTGGAATCTCTTGAAGTAGGCCCATAGGCTCTCTTTTGGTCCTTGCCTCATTTGGATCAGCACATGAGGGGGGGGGGGGGGGGGGGGCGGGGGGAGCTTCTGCTTAGTGTCAGCTAGGAAGTGGTGGATGAACTTTCGACTCAACTGTCAAAAATTATTGATGGACCTTCTACTCAAAGTGTTCCACCAAAGCTTAGCATCTCCAGTGAGGGTGATAGGGAAGCATCGATAGAGGATTGCTTTCGAAACTTGGAGCATACTCATTATGTCGAAATAATTTTGAACATGCTCAGAAGGATCTCCTTCACTCGAGTATGTCCCTAAGTGGGGCATTTTGAACTTATCAAATGAGCATTTCATTATCTCGTCTTTAAGTGGGGCTATTCCCTCCGATTGTATCGTCAACCGGCCTATATACTCGATCGTAGGCGGAAGCTCCTGAAGTGGTAGATAAGGACGAGGGGGCGCAATGATGGGGCTTCTTAGAGCCTGTTCCTTTAGCACATCCTTCTGAATGACTAGGACCAGAACTTTCACCATGGATTTTTGAATGAGGATGGAGGTGTCGCTCCTGTTGATATGAGACGCCCGATTGCCTGGGGCGGTTCTCCGCCTGCTTAGGGGGGTTATGAGGAGTTCGCGGTGAGACATCCCATTGCTGGGAAGGAGGTGCTTCTGATCGTCAGTCTCCAGAAGGTGGAGGTGGTATAGTGGCATGTGGTGATGCTAGGATTCGCTATAGAACATCGTTAGTCAAGACGGCAAACTACTCTTTAAGTGATAGGGTTTGTTGGTTCACCGCTCGTTCCAATTGATCTTGTGTAACATAATTAGGCGACTTTCTTCGAGGTTGAGACTGCTCAGATCCTATATTGGAGCCTAACATTTTTTTCTCAAAAAAGGAAAAGAGGCCCCACGGAGGGCGCCAAACTGTTGATGTTAAATATCACACAGCTAAATAAAGTCACGGAGTTTGCAAGGGGCTGCTTTCTTCTTCGACTTTATGCCTGATTCAGGAGTAAGATGATTGAGCAATCTGCACATAAGAAGTCGTAAAAGGGCGGGGATAAATTCCCCCGTGGTACCTCCGACGATCAAGTTAGTATATGAACTTGAGTTTAAGTGGAATCACAGAACTGTGTGTTCTTGGAGGTTTTTAGATTGCGAACCTTTAGCTATAGCAAATAGCCTCTCCATTTAAGGGAGATGCCGAGGGCAGGTTGGTCACTCCATGGATATACAGTAAGACGGTAGTGAGGCGGTGATGAGGAGTGAGTGGGAAAATAAATCATCAGTCGCTCCACACGTGTTGGTTTATGAGTGTCGTGAGATCACTTCGGCAGCATTAGGAGTCAGCAGCTAACAAATCTTCAAGATAGTTGATGGGTGACACTTAATGGTGATCATCAAAGATTAAACAATGTTGAGAAGTAACACCTATGCTGACAGATTTGAGATAAGGGCAATCCTTTAGCTTCGTCGAGAAGCAATGCTCATAGGGTCATATCTTCGAGTTGCTGACTTTCGTGTCGACCAACACCGCCTTTCGCATCGACTCAGGAATTTCGGCATGTTCGACTGGTGGGAATGTTGTCTCATCTCAGCTAATAACCGTTTTTCGAGTCGACATAAATAAGTCGACTCGTCTGGGAGGTCAGGATCTCTCGTGTCAACTATCACCGCTTCTCGCGCTGACGTTGAGGTGTCGGCTTTTTGAGCTGATTGAGATGCTGACTTATCAAGTCATATATTCGTGAAACAGATATGTCCCATAACACTAAGCCTCCAAGGACCAATCAAATAGAGGCGGAGACGATGGCTCCCCTATCCATTAGCTACAAGCCG